TGCTGATGTACAGTTCCTGGACAGAGGGCAGTTGGGCACCAATGATTTTTCCTGCTGTTTTATTAATACGCTGTAGTCTGCATTTGTCCATTTTTGTGGCTGACCCAAACCAGACAGTGATGGATGAGCAAAGTATGGATTCGACTGCAGCAGTGTAGAAGAAGATCAGCAGCTCTTGTGGTAGGCCGTACTTCCTTAGTTGCTGTAAGAAATACATCCTCTGCTGAGCCTTTTTGACGATGGAGTTGATGTTTGTTTCCCACCTCAGATCCCTGGAAATGATAGTTCCCAAAAACTTGAATGAGTCCATTGACACTGGGCTGTTGGATATTGTGAGGGGGGGCAGCACTGTGGTAAGCTTCCTAAAATCCACAACCATCCCCACAGTCTTAAGGGTTTTAAGACTGAGGAGACTGTGAATGTGCTTTTCAGATATGAGAGCAGGTTCACTCTGAGATCATGTGAAAATGATCAGGAGAGCTTGAAGTGCTATCTACATACTATCTCAATAAGCTGAGATACTCAATCTAAATATAGAATATCAACCTGCTTGGTCTTTACTGTGTTAATCACAAGATGCTAGGAATCTTTGTTTATTCAGGGATTGTATACACTTTGTTTTGATTCAGGAAAGAGTCAGGTTTATAAAAGTAAGAATTTATTTTACAAACAATTAAAACATAACAGGCTAACTACCATTTACTGTGAGTGGATGGAACTAGATGTGATGTATAAAACCTATGTGTGAATGCGATGTTATCAGAACTTCCGTATCTAGGAGAGCTGAGTTCTGGATGTAAAGTAATTTGGTTTGCGTTAAGCTATGAAGTTTATTATTATCAAAAACACATCAGACGCTATCTGCCATGTCTACATACTCACTCGAAGACCCTAGTGATGGATCCGGAATGTCGAAGTCCTCGGACTGCCAGGCACCGAGGTCCGTAGAAGAAACTGCGGCACTACTAGACCGGTCTTAAGAGTTGTCTCCAGGTCACAACAGATGGATGGAACTGCGCATCTGGGACTCAAGGAGTCTGAACAATATCAGCTTGTTCTGCAGGAACTGTTTGCGGTATCAGCTTTGCAGGTGCAAAAAAGATTTTGACGACGTGTCAAAAGCTTTGATGGGTTAAAGAGGTTTTGCTTCAGATGGCCGGTCTGAAGCTTTCTCAAGAACTGATGAATCACCAAAGTGATCCAGTTTTAATGTTTTCATGTTATGATTTGTGTAGCCAACCAGAGGTTGACAAGTTGAGGAATATTACAACTCAGAAACACGCCTTCCTTGATCCGGATGCTCTGATCTGGGGTAAAGGGCTATCTATATGTCACACATTTGACTTAACTTTACTGAACTTTACTTTGTCCTTGTGTGGGTGTCATATCAACATGCTGAAACATATATCAATCAATGTAATCATAACATAACATTCATTTCAAACTTCAATCACTGAGCCCAGATTAATGAAAACATTTCATTTTACTATAATTATTATAAGTAGCAATAAACAAACATTTAATGATTATCTAGCTTATAAGTTTTAGAAGTTCACATTTAATTTAAGAAACCATTTTTTGATTTAGCAACTAATTCGAGCTACAAGTGTTAGGCATGAAGAGTCCTGTAGGACAATAAGGGAAGCTTGGACCTTGAGGAGAGAACATCATTGTTGACTATTCGTTATCATGTGTTCAGAGCTGCAGAGAGGCTCTGAGCTCCAGCTAATGGGATGAAGGCAGGCCGATTTAAAGGGAACACATGCAGTCTCGTGTCTCCAATTTGACCAGATGTTGAATGGTCAAACTGTACCTAAAAACTGACCATTGCTGGACGTTACAAGGGATTTGTAAGAAACACTGTTGACAAACATTAACCTGAGTGTTTATTGTGTTTTGTGAGATTGTCAGATGATACATGACCAACTGTCTTATAAAAGACTGAATACTTTTTAAATAAGTATAGGAACACTTTTATATCAGAGTATTTTTTCAAGTCAGTTAAACTTCCAGGATATTGATCTAAGTATGTGGTCCCTACAGAAAGACACAACAAGAAGTGCTATTGCCAGAGGGTTTGCTGTTTCTCCCACCACAGACTCAGGTGCATGGAGGAGATTTGAAAAGACAGGCAGTTACTCTAGGAAAGCTAGACAGGGCAGTCAAAGGTCCTTCACCCATCAGCAGGACCATTATCTGCACCTTTGTGCAAGGAGGAACAGGATGAGTACCGGCAGAGCACTTCAAAGTGACCTTCAACGGGCCAATGCCCTCGATGTCTCTAACCAAACTATTAGAAGCAGACTCATGTGGGTGGTTTGAGTAGGCCCTGTGCTCAGTACCAGGCACTGTGGAGCTTGACAGCAATTGGCCATAAATCACCAGGCAGGTCTGGCACAGTCTAATGTGCTTTTCAGATGAGAGCAGGTTCACTCTGAGATCATGTGAAAATGATCAGGAGAACTTGAAGTGCTATCTACATACTATCTTATCATCATTATGCTATCTACATCATTGTTCAGCATGACTTGCTTAATAGTGGGTCAGTTAAGGCATGTTCTTGGAGGGATGCATAAACTTGTACAGGACCACAGGTGCGTTTCTACGGTGCCCGTCTGGTGATATTAAGGGAAAAAAATTAATTGTGGCCTCGAGATACTTAATCCGTGGGAATGATTTATTAACTCGTAGACACGACTTATTAATGTGTTCCCACAAGTTATTAATATGTGGCCACAAGATACTTAATGAATACATTAAGTATCTCGTGGCCATGAGTTACCTTTTTTTTTCCTCACCAGACGTGAGCATGAGGTGGCTGCACATCTTGGCCTCAGCGGCACACACACAATGCTAAAGGCAGAATTGAAAAAGACTGTGCTGTCTACCTTAGCCGCCCAGAATCTACTGCCGGATGAACATGAGAGCGAGGACGAGAAGGAAACTGGGGACCTGCGTGACCCAGTGCTGCCAGAGCAGGGAGACACCGTGACAGAGGAGACTTAGTGTTAAAACTGTCTCTTGGCTTCTCTGTTTTGTACTTTGCCCAAACTGTGCTCTCCATTCCTGGGGTTTTTGGTTTTTGTTTAGTGCCCCAGTTGCTAAAGATACTTTGTGCCCTTGTGCCACCCGTTTTGTGTTTCTCTTGTGTGAATCTCCAAATTTTCAGTTGAATTTGGCTTTAGTTGTTTGCCTTTGAGGATTTTTAGTTAAAGATTTCTAGTTAGATAGTTGTGGGTCTTTTGTGTTATTTATATTGAGATGGTTTTGGTTTATTCTTAGAAATCCCAATTTTTGGTTGTTTGGTTAAATTAGGAGGTTATTACCAAATGGGTCACCAGATGGGCACCGTACGTTTCCAGAACCGGGACTTCAGGGTAAATTTGCAGGAACTTCCCGACATGCGCCTGTCTCCACTTGACCAGGTCAGCCGAACGGCTGTTTTCAGGAACTGTCTGAGTGCCTGGTCAGGGGTAGGTACTCGGAAAGGCCCGGGAGAGTAGCTGAACTTTTGGTTAACTCGAGCTGATTGGTGACATTAGCAGACACCGTTCAAAACAACTGGCATTAGTAAAATTCGAAGAGTTGCGTGTGAAGCAGAATGGAAGCAAAAGAAAATAAACAGCAACCGTACTGCCTTAAAATTGCCAATACTAAACTCCCAACACCAGAAAACCTGGAGAAATTCACACACAATGATGTAATTCATGGGGCTTCGTTGTCTCACAGAGTGCCGTAAAAAACTAAGCTCCTTAGGGTCATTGAATGCCACATTTTACATCGTGCAGCTGCTCTCTAACTATGAATGAATTAAATTATTATATATTTCAACAGAATAAAACTTTTAATGTTATTAATACTATTGTGGATGCTTTTGGGAACTGATCAGTGACATCACTCGCTGCCAAAGCAGTCGCAATATGCTCACGTCCGTGCAAAATGGTAAATGGCCTTTGTATAGCGCCTTCTTAGGGTTCTACAACCCCCCAAGACACTTCACAACACAATCAGTCATCCACCCATTTACACACTAGTGGGGATGAGCTACGATGTAGCATCAGCTGCCCTGGGGCACACTGACAGAGGTGAGGCTGCCGAACACAGGCGCCACCGGTCCCTCTGACCACCACCAGCAGGCAAGGTGGGTTAAGTGTCCTGCCCAAGGACACAACAGCAGAATTCTCTGGTTGGAGCGGGGATTGAACCTTCAACCTTCTGATTTCTGGACAACCCGCTCTACCTCCAAAGCTACTGCTGTCCCAAGTCCTGAAAGGGCTGCATTTGTATGAAGACACAACAGCTGAGATATCATATCTCCCAGTCAATTTTCCTGTCCCAGAATTTACCCTGAAGTTCCAGCAATGGAAACACGGCTCATGGTTCCCTGAAGGGCCATTAGTTACCAGGATGAAATTTAGACCCATTGTTAGACCCTATGCCAGAACAGTGGGTCCTGGGTTTCTCTTGGCGCACGTTAACGATTGGCCTCATGTGGCTTGCAGACAATTCCTGGAGATGAAGGAATTGACACTACCGACTGGTCTGACCTAAAACTTTCTAGGAAATCACGTTTAGATCCACCCAACACTACCAGGGTTCAGTCTGAGCCCATCCTGGAGTTCATTGATGCTCTAGCCAGGATCTGGGAGAAGAAATCCAAGAAAATTGGAATGGCATGCTTCCTCCTCAGCTTTGATTTCTTAATGACTTCAAATTAAGACCTCTATAGGTTGATAATTTGGATTTCCTTAAAATGGTGTGTCATCTTTTGGTTCCAAACACATTCCCACACAAGTATGAATATCCACCACAATCGGTTTAGTTTTCTTCCCATCGAGATCTGATGGGTTTTCTATGTGTTCCTTTCATTTATTTTTAGCAGTTTATGCAGACAGTACAATATGGAAGAAAATATAGTAGAATTCACAACACTTAATGTCAAAAGGTAATTGTGTTTCTTCCTGCTGGGATCTGTTCCTGCTTTAACTTACAGAAAACTAATTTACAGCATTAATAACTCAGCTGGAGGTCTCTTTGAGGATCATTTATAAATTTAAAAAATCACTTTTGTAAACTCCACTCACCAAAAACGGAGTAAACCACAGCAACCACTATATCCAGAGAAACAGGGATTTTGGAGCGGAATGCAGTGTCCTCAGCCATCAGCACCATCTAAAAACAAACGATTTGTGTTTGGTAAATATACTGAACTTAACAAGAAATTTGTTTTATTTATTTGCATGTTTAATGTTGAAAGTAAATATCCAAAACATCCAGTGTGATTGTTACCGAATATTATTTGCAGTAAATGATCATTTTGGTGAAGAAAAAGACCTACACACCCTCAAAGTCATTTAATCAAAGTCTGCGCATGCATGTGTGATGAAGTTGAGTTTCTTTAATTGTGACTTGAGTTAACCTGAATTCATTAAATGTGACTCACCTTAATATTGAAAATAAACACCTTTCTTCTGACATTTTCATTGGCAGCATTAAATAAAACAAGAATAGGATATCTACCGCTCAAACCTGTAATCTGATTGACAACATTCATTTTAAATAAGAGAAATTATAATATTTTTCAGCATTATCTCTTAATTTTGTCTAGAAAACATCTCTTTTCAGTTTAACCAAATTAAGCTTTGTTTAAAGCGTATTTTCTGAAGAAAATCTGATTTGTTTAGGACATTTTTTGTTCATTTTTTATGGTTTGGTAAACTCTGGTCATAGACATGTCTAGCGTTTTGACCTTTATTGTATCTTGTAGACCATGGTGTGGGGAACTCGGGTCCTCAAGGGCCAGAATCCTGCATGTCTTTGCTCAATGTGTTGCTTTGCTCAACACTTCTGATTCAGTGGTTGATTCACCTGTTCATCAGCTCATTAAACGCTGCAGAAGCTTGTTAATCACCTGCTGATTGAAATCAGGTGTGCTGGCGGCCCTGGACCTGGGTTCCCCACACTTGTTGAAGACAGTTCACTCTCTCCCTTCCATTAACTAATATATTTGCTCTCCACTCACCTGCCCTGCATCTGTTAATCAGCCCAGCCTTTCCCTCGTGGTCACTGGTCCTTCCAGCATATAATGAGCGCTTTTACGCACCAAATGGGAACCTGAAAAACGTTCGAGTTCAAAGACTTTTGGCCCGTTTTGTCAAAGCAGAACAAACAGAACATCCAATCTAATCTTATTTAAAACACGCATCTGACGAAATCCAGCAAGACTCAGATTACCGTAAATGTTAGAACGTTTGCTCATGGATCAGAAGGTGGAGGTGAGTATGGGTAGGCTCACTGTCCAAACGGTGTGTCCGCCATAGAAACTAAACTGCCTTACCTTAACAAATATCCCAAGTCCTCCACTGGTGCTGCTTTCAAAATGACTTTTCCAAAAATGTTCTTCTGGTGCCAAAAGATGTTAGAGATGCTACAATCCTCTGGACATCACCAAGCCTCCGCGCTCAACGCACTGGATATGCTCCAAACTGCGCCGATCAAAGGATGACGTCATTTATGACTGAACTAGTAAAAGCGTGAGCTCATCCCCATTGGGGGGCTTTGAACCTGTAGTGCATCGTTCTGTTGAGCGTCCACACAACGCAGTCAGGGCGTCTATCGGCTGCATGTGCGAAGTCACTGTGACGGAGTTTGATTCTGGCTCCTACGCTCTAGAATGTTACAATCTGTAATGAAAAATCTCACCAATCTAAAAACAAATTCCTATCCCGTTCTCTGAATCAATTTTTTTAAAACTTTTATTTGTTTAGGAGAGCAAGTCTACACGGTTAAACCCTACTAACAAAAATTATACAAACAAATTAACAAATAGAAATATTTTAGGGCCAAATGTAGACTCAGTCACCCCCTGGGTTTTGCTACAGGGCTTTACCCTAGTATTTTCTTGAAAACTGTTTAAAATTGACCAGTGTACGAAGTTTATATGAAAAAACTGAAACAAATATCCCGTAAAGCAGGTTATTTTTTTAAAATAAATATACAGTTAAGGCTTTTTCCCCAGGCTCTTATTATAGAGTCTACTGAGAAGCAAATTAATACAGATAACATATGACAAACTGTATAATAAACAAATACAATGTATTGTCAGATAACAATACTGGATTAATTGTTTATATGAGCTAAAAGATCATGTGAAATCAGTTGTGTCTTTTTAAGGATTTCAAGTGTGCTTCACTATTAAAGCCATCATGTCCCACAGACCCCAAGAATCTTAACCAGTGGCATGGAGAAGACTCGCCCGTTACCTGCAACCCTGAAGCACATCCTGGTGGGTTGCCAAACCAGTTTCTCTCAGGACCATTACACCTGGTGGCACAATCAGGTGTTACAGTGTTTTGCAGGAGTGCTGGAGAAGCAATGCTCTACCCTCTCTGGTAACTCAGCGACCACCAGCAGTATTTATACGTGAATCCATCACCCTTTACTAGGTGGGGACTCTTGGCAGCTAGATGGTTCGTGAGACTGGAAACTGCTGGTGGATTTGAATTTGCTTTCCACCTGAGATTGTGTCTACCAGCCTTAAACCTGACATTGTGTTGTGGTCTTAATATTATTTACATCATATACCTTGTACCATTGGGAGGATGCAGTTGAGGAGGCTTACGAGCACAAGAAAAGGAGATATGCTGAACTTGCAGCTGAAGCACAACAACATGGCTGGAAGACAAAGGTCGGACTTGTCGAGGTGGGATGCAGAAGATTAATTAGCCTTTACAACATCAAGGCTGCTATATGAGCTTGACGTGTGGGGCTAGGGTCATTGGCGGGCAATGAAGGATCTCTCCAGAGCTCCTGAAAGAGGCAGCCAGACCAGTGGCTCTTGAAGAGAAAGAGAAAAAAGCTTGGGGGTGAACCTGAGACCATGGGATTCACTTCCGATCTCGCTGGAGATGTCTTGGGCCTATCAGCAAAACATTGAGGAATGAGGGGGGCCACTTGAGAACTTCAATCATTCAGTTGATTAATTCCACAGAGACCAAGCTGCAGGTCTTGTAAATGCAGGACTCTTAAAAGTAGGAAGCTTTTTGCTTTTCTCCAACTTAATTTATCTATTGTCTCTGTAACTTTAACCTGAATATTTTTAAAATTAAAGTTTTTTTTTTCAGTTCTGAGTCATAGGCTTTTTATGTGAGGCGATTATTCATTTTAGTCCCTTGAATGTGCTTTTTAAAAGAACATGCACATGAATGTGCTTCTTTTAATTAGAACTCAGCATCACGCGTACCCCTCACAAGCACAACTCAAATCAAAGAGGGTCAAAGGCACACACTGGAGGCACTTGAAAATTAATTTTGAACATAATTCTGAAAACGGGGAAACAGAAACAATCAAGTTTGTCACGCCTTGAAAGAAGGTAGGAACACACACACACACACACACACACACACACACACACACACACACACACACACACACACACACACACACACACACACACACACACACACACACACACACACACACACACACACACACACACACACACACACACACACACACACACACACACACACACACACACACACACACACACACACACACACACACACACACACACACACACACACACACACACACACACACACACACACACACACACACACACACACACACACACACACACACACACACACACACACACACACACACACACACACACACACACACACACACACACACACACACACACACACACACACACACACACACACACACACACACACACACACACACACACACACACACACACACACACACACACACACACACACACACACACACACACACACACACACACACTTCCAATGACGTAAACCAGGACACAGGCGAGGCTGGAACTGATTGAGCTAAAGTTTGAGATGAAAGCTCCATTCAAGGTGTAAAACGGAGTTGTCAAAGAATTAATTGTTGCAGCTGCAGAAGACAGCAAGAAATGAAACACACATGGGCATCAAAGTGGTCTAACGAGAATGCAAAATAAATAATAATAATGATTTTAGGAGAGCTTTATCTGGTGAAGAAACATTTCACCTCTCTGAGGTTACAAAAGCATTTTTATGCTATAGGGAGAAAAAATGACAATCAACAGAGGAGTTTTGAAGATCCAACTATACTCATCCATGTTTCCTGAATTTTAAGGTTAAAAAGAAAACTCCATCACCAAACAAAGCTGAGCAAACATTTTTCGTAACTCTCACTGTAGAATGTAAATTACTTAGGGTGAATTACAATAAAATCATTAATTAGCAAAAAAAATATATATACATGTTAAAAATTACAGCTTGAGCCCAAGTGTCCCCTTATTGGGGGCCCGACAAAGTTAAAGTCCCAGTAGTTGTCACACACACTGATGTGTGTGGGAAATTTCTTCTCTGCATTTGACCCATCTCCTGGGGGAGCGGTGAGCTGCAGACACAGCCGCGCTCGGAAACCATTTGGTGGTTTAACCCCCCAATCCAACCCCTTAATGCTGAGTGTCAAGCAGGGAGGCATTGGGTCCTATTTTTTCAAAGTCTTTGGTATGACCCGACCAGGAATCGAACCCTGATCTCCCAGTCTCAGGGCAGACACTCTACCACTAGGTCACTGAGCTGGTTCGACAAGTGTAGCATATGAATGTATGCCCTATATAAATAATCAGGAGTCTGCACCTCTAAAAAACTGCAGAGTCTGGGCATCAAGATCATAAATCTTTCTACAAGCTCCAAACAAAAAATTCAAATAACTACAATTAAATGAATCATGACAATCACTCTTTATTAAGAAAAGAAAAAAAGAATGTATTTTCTAGTTGGTAGAAACAGGCACATGAACTTTATTACAGCAGGAGGGACGCGCATACATGCAGCATTCATCTTCTAACCCTCAGCAGAACTTCTCCTGAACTACACCTCTATATACCTTAGCAATGCTCTGCTGCCACCTAGTGTTCAGTTCAGTACACAGCATTTAATTTGTTCCATGTCTATTTACACTTCATTATCAATACATCCACTAATATTTACAAATCCCAACAAATCCCACAATGGTTACCTTTATAAGGAGACCAAAGTAATTAAATACACCTTTTGGTTGCAAAGATATACTTATTTAAGTGTGGGTATACCATCTGTGCCTCACTAATAGCTTTTTTCATTAAAAAAAATGATAAATTGAATCATTTTGACCACAAAAATAAAACGTTTTAAAACATCTGAACCTATTAAAGTTTGAGACTGAATTGGTTTGGTTTCACCACTCATGGTTGATCAGTAATGATGCTTTACTGTGAATAAACAACAGACTTGTCCTCAGTCAGGAAACATGTTCAACACGGAACTCAGCGAGAATCAAACATCTACTGGAATCAATGAGGCAGAGCAGGAACGTGTTATCACCTGAAGCCACCTTCTGGTGGGGCGGCAGAAAACAGGATCCCAGATGTTGGTAATGAGGAGTAAAAGAGCAACTGTAGAGGTATATTAAAAATAATATGATACAATCGTTGTTGAAGACAAACTTAAGTTAAATTAGCTTTCAACAATTAACCCTCTCAGGCTCAAAATAAGTTTTGATAAAAGGACGCACAACTAAGTCCTTCAGGGGTACTTCTGAGTTAAAAAATGCTTCTGAGATATCCTGCCATACGTGGGGTAACCAGGTAGGTCGGTTTTAACGTTGCAAATCTGCAACGCCTGCCTCCAGAGGGTTAATATAATATAATGCATTCTGAATGGAGTATGGTACCTGAAAACATGTTTAAAACTAAAGAAATATTGATCAAATATTGATAAAATTGATGGTTTTATTCATGTTTTATTTAATCCAATTTTCTGATTGTTTCTCGCTTATTATGCTCAGGTGTAGAAATAGGCTGCAGGGCATTATTAAAATATGCAACAGTGCCGGACAAAAAAGTTCACCTAACCCAAGTCTTTAAAAAAGGGTGAATACAATTAAAAACAGACCGAAACTTTTTCATCACATCTGGAATCACTTCATGACATTTTCAATGGTATCAGACACATACACACACACACACACACACACACACACACACACACACACACACACACACACACACACACACACACACACACACACACACACACACACACAAACACACATTTTTTAGCCATATATTCAATTTTAATTTTTGCATATGGGAGCATCAGACACTGTTTTGAATGAGGGAATAGCAGTTTCTTCTTGTAAATCTTGTTTCCTGCATCAATTTTTCTGATGATTTTCCTGGAAGTAGGACATAATTACACAACTTTCACACCAGTGCATCCTGTCTGTGGTTTGGCGGTGTCATCACTCCAGCTTTGGTGATTATCTATTGATATTTCCTTGCTGCTACTTAATATTGCTTAAAATGTGTGTTCATGAGACAGATGGAGCTAATGGAGCTGAAATGATGCAGCACAGTTCCCTTTGCAGCTTGAGGTTTTAGGTTTCTACAGAAGATCCTTATTTATGATTTTACCTGCAAGATTTTTTTTTAAATGAAATGAAATTAGAATCAGAAAAAAGTTACTAATTATCCTTTTGATGAGTGACTACTTCAAAAGCAACTAACGTGTACTCATTCATATGAAAGGTGCCTGAAGAGCAGCATGATCTTTTGTGCTAAATTCTCATTCCTGGTAAAAATGCTCAGAAAATGTAAGATAGTTTTTCATTATTTACATAGATTCTAATTTATGCAAATTATATATAAATTATGAAGCTCATTTCATACAAAAAGGCAATTAAAATATGCTTTCCAGGTACAGGAAAAATGAACAAAAACCAAAAACATTTTAAAATAAACAAATGCTGCATAGATGCCCAAAGCAGCTTCAGCTCCGAATTTTAATGTGCCCCTTGCTGATGAATGGACCTCAGAATGCGACAAAGCTTTTCAGACCTTGATAGAGAAGTTGACAACTGCGCATGTACTTGCTTTTGCCAGTCCATCACTGCCATATATCTTACATACTGATGCTTGTTGTGATGGGTTGGGTTGGGTGCAGCGCTCTATCAAGAGCAAGATGGACAGTTAAGAGTTATTGCCTATGCCAGTCGTGGACTCTCCAAAAGTGAACGGAACTATCCCACACACAAACTGGAATTTTTAGCTCTCAAGTGGGCTATTTGTGAAAAGTTTAATGACTATCTGTATGGTTCCAGTTTCACCGTATTCACAGACAACAACCCCCTTACATATGTCTTAACATCAGCCAAGTTGGATGCTGCTGGACACCGTTGGTTAGCCGCTTTGTCCATTTACCAGTTCAGTATCAAGTACAGAGCAGGGCAGGCTAACCGTGATGCTGATGGGTTGTCCCGCCGACCGCAAGAACCACCCTGTGAGGATGAGGACTACATAAAGGAGAATGATAAATGATAAATGACCCGCACTTGTGTAGCGCCTCTCAGAGTAAGGACTCCAAAGTGCTTTACACTACAGTGTATCATTCATCCATTCACACACACATCCACACACTGATGGTGATGAGCTACAATGTAGCCACAGCTGCCCTGGGGCGCACTGACAGAGGCGAGGCTGCCGAGCACAGGTGCCACCAGTCCCTCCGACCACCACCAGCAGGCAAGGTGGGTTAAGTGTCTTGCCCAAGGACACAACAGCAGAATTCTCTGTCCGGAGCCGGGATTGAACCTGCAACCTGCCGATTACTGGACAACCGCTCAACCTGTTGAGCTACTGCCTAAGAAGGGCAGAGTAGACAACATGAAAAAACGTCTTCAGGAAGTAAGTGCTGATGTTGATCTTGAAATGACCTCTGCATTGTGTCAGCATCATCTTGTGAACTACAAGGACAAACATGATTCAGACATTGGACAAGTTTTGACTGTCGAGTCTCTAATCATAGAGCCCTCAACTCTTTCTGAAATATTTTGTGAAGACACCCTTCAATCATTGACAATCTCTGATTGGCGTGAAGCCCAAAGACATGATCCCTCCCTTTGTCATGTCATTACTTTCCTTGAGAAGGCAAGCAAACCCAGTCTAGCTGGCATCACTTCTGAACCCTTTGATGTCAAACTCCTCCTGAGAGAATGGAAAAGGTTGGAGTTAAGAGATGGGGTGCTTTACAGGAAGTGGATGGATAAGGGACA